GATCCATAACTGGCTAGCATTGTTTGAATGTGTGTCAATTTCTAGTCGTTCTGGCTTGAGTAATTTGTCCATTGATTGGGTAATTATTAGCTTATTAAATTGTAGTAAAAGAACCTTTAGAATTAAGGCTTTAATAAGCTAAAATTCAATACAGTATTTTCTGACAATAACTGACAACATGACACACAAATGACATACAACATACAGGTACATAAATATAGGGAACACAGTAAATAGTAAAGTAATGAAATATATAACAGTATCTACTTCGTTTTAAAGTAAATACTACGAAGAATCTACTAAAACTTGTAGTAGTAGCAGATACTTCGTTTTTATTCATACCACCTATTATGTAAATTAACATCTATAAGATTATAGTTTTTGAGGAAATTGAGTTTAAAGATTTGGACCCAATTTTGTTTGACTAAACCTCCACTTTGAAGTTCAATATCTCGAAAACTTTACTAGTTGAATAAACAATAAACCAATTTGTCACAGTTTGATAGGGGATTTGATGCTCTTTTAAGCAATGCATAATTTACTTAGATATTATCAATAGTAATATAACTAGTGCAATGGAAATTATTGATAATTTTTCAGTTAAAAACGCATGAGTGCAAATTTGTCGAAAATTATAAATATATTTCCATTGCACGAGTTGTATTTAATGAGAGAATTTCATAAATCGTCAAAAAATGTCAAAACACCAGTTTTCGCACCAGTTAGTATGCAATAATTATCTGATAATTTGCACTAGTGCAAATTATCGCGTAATTACAATCTGATTGGTTCAAATCAACAATCAAAACATGTCAATTTATTGTTGGAATACCAGTTTTGACAGATGTATGAAATTCTCGAAAATATGAGCAACTTGTTATGACCGAGTCAAAATTTCCAAAATTATAAAAATGTTTCTTTTTTTGGTTTTTGATTTTAGATTCGTTTTTAACTAACTTTGACTTGCTCTATCGGTTGATTAAGTCCAAAGTGAAAAAAATTGAAAAAAAAAAAAATAAAAAATAAATATTTGGCACTTTTTGAGTTCAAAATCTTAAAATATATTGGTACTCACGCCTACCAGATAATAGAACGAAATTTTCAAGATTTGTAGCTTTTTATTAGATGGTTCAAAACATTATAATAATTGACACAGGGTTTACAATTTTGGCATAGGTACCACACAAAAACCTATTTCAAAAACCCATTATCAATATTGACAAAAACCCAGTGGGCTTTTTGTGTCAAAAAATTAGGATTCTTTTATTAAAAAACAAACTCATTCCTGCAATGGTGACAAACAAGAATCAAAAATCTAGGATTTTTCACATTTTTCTTATCTATAGGGGAAAGTGGGTAACATTGAGACACGGGTAACAGTGAGACATTCAAAATATTAGCTATTTCTTCACTTTTTAAATAGGTGTCGCCGCAATAAGACGTTAATGATGTCCATTTTTAGTTTGGTCTGCAACGCGGAAGGGGATACAACCTTTCGGTTATTTTTTTTTTGTCAACGAACTTTTTCGGCGAAATTTGAAAAACATAGTCTTTAAGTGATATAAGGAAACCTTTCTGCTGTTAATTGGATTTATTAAAACTAAATTAAAATCAAAGGGGGACTAAAAAATGGCATTTTATTTTTCAAAGTGACTTGGGTATGAATGAGACGTGTTTAGATGGGTAACACTGAGACTATGTAGTTCTAGTAGAATTTGCAATTGAAACATTAAAGGAAAAAATTTACCTATCACATAGGAAAATTGTTATCAGAAATCGATAGTGATAACAAAAATGATTATAAATTACCATTTTTAAGGAAAAGTGATAAAAAGGAGGGATTTTTGTTTTCCCAAATGTCCAGATTTTAGAGATATTGCCACTGTTTCTAAAAGAGATATTAAGATAATTTTGCTAAAACCAGTGAATTACGGAAAAACTAAAATCGATCCTACCATGGCTTTGAAACTTTGTCTGGGTCATTTTTAGAAGTTTGTTTCAGTTTATTCAAGTAATTATTTCTCATTCGATATAGTGTCTCATCTGTCAAATATATTGTCTTTGTAAGTGACTATAGAATCAAAAACATAATAAATTTCTAACTTAGATTTATTCTTGAGTGTTGTGATATTTTCAAGGTTTATGGTAAAATATTTTCATTAGAAAAAAAAGTGTCTCAGTGTTACCTAGTTTCCATTAAACAAAATAAAAATGCAGGGGAAAAATAGTCAACTAAGAATAATCAAACAATTCTTAGATACAAAAGTAAAAAATCAAAAGGAACTTTTCTCAAGATAACTACTACACCATTACCATTTTAACCTCAATTTCGGAAAAAGTAACTTTTATTTAGGAAAATGTGAGGTCATTTTCGGAAAAAGTAAATTCGAATTTGGAAAAAGTATATTCAATTACGTAGAAAGTAATGTTATTTTTTAGAATAATTTGAATTGATAAAAAGTAAATTTAGCAGCGACTATAAACCTCCAGTCGAACTCGTACCCTGACTACGGCTTCGATTCCAATCAGTGTACTTAACTTTAATCAGGTTCCATATTATTTTGTAGGTCTGATGATGCTCGTATGAGCGAAACACATGTCACTATTAAGTGAATAAAATAATAAATAATTTGTAGAGTTGGTTTCATTGTTTAAAAATCGCGTCTCTTTGAGAAATATGGACAAATTTTTTGATTTTCTAAATAGATAAATGACTCGATCAATTCAATTTGAATTGATTCTATAAAAAATAACAGTAGTTTCTCCGTGATTGAATGTACTTTTTCCGAATATGAATTTACTTTTTCTGAAATTGATTTGACTTTCTCCGAAAATGACTTTACATTTTCCTAAATAAAAGTTACTTTTTCCGAAATTGAGGTTGAAATGGTGTAGTAGTAGTATTGTAACTTAAATTACCAAGAAATAATTTGTACTAATAAACTATTAAATGAATAATTGAAACAAAATTAAAATCTTAGTTAACATATTTGTGAAAAATTTGCTTTAATTAGAGCTGCATTACAATCAAATCGGATAATAATTAACGGAGCAATGAGGCAAAAACTGTCTCAGTGTCATTTTTGGAAAATTTTCAATGTTTGATAATTTCAATTTTGAAGCTTCTCAGGTGTGAAACCGTTGAAACCAAATTAAACTCGATTTGTAGAGAATTTAATTAGCTTTTATTAGAGCCTAATCACGTTGAAATCGAATGAAAATTGAAGGAGCTGTGAGACAAAAACTGACTTCAGTTTCATTAATGGAAAATTTTTAATGTTCGATAAATTCAAATTTGAAGCAGCTTCTCAGGTGCAAAACTGTTGAAACCAAATTAAAATCCTAATCAACAGGTTGGTAGAGAGTTTGATAGGCTTTAATGAGAGATTAATTACATTGGAATCGGATAAAAATTAACAGAGTTGTGAGGCAAAAACAGTCTCAGTGTCATTTTTAAAAGATTTTCAATGTTTAATAAATTCAACTTTGAAGCTTCTCAGGTGCGGAACTGTTGAAACCTAACTAAAATCCTAATTGACAGGTTGGTAGAGAATTTAATTGATTTTAATTAGAGCGTAATTACATTGAAATCGGATGAAAATTAACGGAATTGTGAGACAAAAACTGTCTCAGTGTCTTTTTAGAAAATTTTCAATGTTTGATAATGGATAATTTCAAATTTCAAGCTTCTCAGGTGTAAAACTGTTGAAACCAAATTGAAATCTTAATTAACAGATTTGTAGAGAATTTAATTGGCTTTAATTTGAGCTTAATTATATTGAAATCGGATGAAAATTAAGGGAGCTGTGAGGCAATTTTGAAACATCTGAAGTGCAAAACAACAAGAAACAGATATACAATTTTGTGTAGTTGAGTAAACACAAAAACACAATCACAATAAACTGCAAAAATATAACAGAAATTTTCAAAAACCCAGGTTTTTGCCAGCCCTGAGTTGAAATTTCTTGAGAAAATGAAGGTTTGGACAAAATTTGGACTGAAACTTAATTTTGTAAATCAATATCTCAGAAACTCTACGATCACTGAAACCAATTTAGCACTTTAACCTTGTCAAAACCAGAACGAATTTATTATGTCATAAGTAAAGAATAATTGCTTGGGATTCAAGCAGCCTGGAAACTTGTCAGAGAATCAATCTCCATGCAGAAAACATTCATTAAATTGTGGAAAAAATGGGTACCCAATGATGATAAATGAACTACAGAATGGATTAAAGCAGGCAGATCAACCAATGAGACCAAACCTACATCTCAAAGAAAATGACGAGGAGGGTGAAATAACAATTTGACCTATAAGACAATTATGGAGACATAGGGTCCCACGCGACTCAAATTCTTGTGCCCATAAAGCAATACTTCACAGGAGTTCTATTCGAAAAATTACCTATATGTAGATGTTGCAGGACGATTTTCTAATCCTTAGTATCCTAAATAGAGCTGAGAAAATAAAAAATAATCTAGGTATTTGACTTTGACTGACAAAAGTAACAAAAAAAGGGAGTTACGGCCATTTGCACCGCTATAACTTAAGGGATATTAAATTTAATCCAAGTGGAGCTTTGAATGTGACTCTCGTAGAAACAAAAGTCACATTCAAAAGCTCCACTAAAATTAAATATCCCTTAATACCCCTTAAGTGATAGCGGTGCAAATGGCCATTACTGATCCTAAGTTACAGTCTCATAGTCACTTCATTGAAACTTTGAATTACCGTTTTCAATAAAATATATTATAATCAAGTTTATAGAGTTTAGTAGTATAAATATTCAGTAAGATACTTGTGCTATAAGAGTTATTAGCTAATTGTAATAATCAAATGTAGTGTAGTTGTGCAAATATTGTATTAGTATGTCATTACTGTTTCGGTAAAATGAGTGTCACAAAGAACCAAAAGTTGGGATTTGCAATCATATAGATTGTGCCAATTATTATATCCTGATGATTAATTATTAGTTGAATGTGATTTATAATAGTTCTTACCTTGCATACAAATTGTAGGCATTTCCACATTGATGAAAAATGGCAAAACTCCTACATAATCTATGGCTTTATTCAGCATTCCAAATCCAAGTGTCGGACTCATAGAGAAGGCAGATACCATCCAATGAGCTGGCCTGAAAGCCCCAAAAAATGTATTTTCAAAATTCAAAAAATTCAAATTCTTACCTTGCTGGAACATCTACATTGAAAATATATCTGCCGTGCGGTCCAATATTGACGTCCTTCCAAACCCATACATTTTCGTATTGGCGTTGCACTCTGTTGAATCGGAATTTTCTAAATAGTGCTAGCTCGGTACTGTTTTCGTAATAACCTATAAAACATGGAAGTATTAGGACAGGGATCTAACATTGAAAATTTTTTTTTGTAAACTTACATCCTGCTTCATCGGTGCCGTCTTCACAGTCTCTATAATAGTCGCATCTTTTACTCAATCTGTAACATCTACCATTGAGGCATTCACCAAGACCTATAATACAAAAGTTATCATATATACCTATATTCTCCAAGATGTTTTGTATAAGAAACAATTAATTACCTTGAGACATATTGCAATAGTTGGGTCGCCTAGTTAGTTCAAAATCACTAAAAACAACCAATCCAGCATACTCAAAAGTACGATTGGCGTCTATTCCATAAGTACTAGATGGGAAATATATTAATTCATCTGGATAACCTGAAAACATATTTAATTAAACAAATCATATAAAGCTTCAACAAGAGTTTTTTAGTGTTTTAAAGTACCATTAATATGTTCATCGAACGTCATCATTTTAGTAATAACTTTGGCATAAGTCAATTCGTTACCAGCCTGCATTGTGTAGAACGACCGGTCGATTCCAGACAGACCCACATAAGATCCAGGTTCTCCATAAATCACTACTTCCACTTTATGCCCAGTCCTTGCTTTTTTATTATTAATCATAACTTTGAACTTATTCCGACTAATACCGTTCACTGGAAAAGTTAAACTGTCCACTGCCAAGTCTCCGTAACGTCCCAAATGCCATACAACTATGGTGGTTACTGGAGCCATTTCGGCACTAAGAGCTATAGACATGGTACTAACAAAATCGTTCATGTCTTGATCGCCTGTCACTAGTACTATGCCTTTGGCTATGATAATATAGTTGAATTTGTCAATGTAGTAGTTGGATCTGATATGGAAAATCATAAATTCCCCTACTCTCGGTGCTAAAGTGCTAGTGGTCACTTTAATATGCTGATCGTTGTTACTATAATGAGCTAATAGTAGCAACTCAGTTGTAGCATGTTGATTCATATACTCATCCCTAAAAGTAGCCTGTATTCTCAAGGTACTCAGTTGGCCTAATTTTTCAAAGGCCCTTGGGCCGAAAATGCCCAACTCTCTTTTCAAGTCCACCTTATACTCCCAAATACCGGGCTGTTCGCTCATCATCCATAGTTTTTTGGGAGGTAAGTCCATTCTACCACCGCCACGCTTTTCCACAAAAGCTGTTACCTCCATAAAACTATTTGCCAGGCTTTCTTCGGAGAGAGGGGAACCATCATAGAATGAGGCTACTAGGTAAGTAGTTAAGGGCATGCCAGGCTTGAAGACTTGAGGAGATTCGCCCAAGAATTTTAATTTGACCTGAAAAATTTAAGAAGATACAATATGGACTAGAGTAACTATAGAACATAGTAAAAGTAAAAGATGAGGAGCATTTAAATTAAGTTTTAATGGTTTTCAAGATTCAAAGATCACACACTTTGGGTAAATTCTAGCATGAAAACTACAATAAATACTCATTAGTAGGTATTTAAAAATAATCATAAACTATTGAAAATCCGAAGATCTTACCGATGAATTGAATATTCTTGCAATGGAATAACCTTCAATGACTTCGTCCAAATATCTATCGCCAACTGTGGCAGTGATTACAATTTCCATCCCATCCAAATTGGGCGTGAATTCCAGCAAATCTCCAATAGGGAATTTGAAGTTGTAAGTACCATAGAACTAAGGAAAAAAAAATTAAGATTATTTTGCAATTTTTTTTAAATGATTAATCAGTTCCTACTCAAGATAAAAAAACTTTCATAAATCTACTAAAAAGTGAATTACTCAAATATGTTATGTGAAAAGTTTGTAAGTGATCAAAAGCAACCAAAAAAATTAAAAAGAAGCACGTACAAATTTTAAACTTGGTACCGATTCCCAGTACTGGTTCTGCGGCATCCACGCCGGAAACTCTTCAAGAAAATTGTAGTACTTTTCTATGACCGGCTTATTGTATTGATCATAGTTGTCATAATAATTATCAAACTGTCTTTGCCTGTTGAGATTACCATCGTAAGGAAAGTTCTGCCTGAAAAAAAAAAAATAGATCATGTATCAAGCAAGAATCAATTCATTTTAAAATTCGCAAATTTCCTATCATAACATAGGTAAGTCAAAAACTAAACTAAAAGTTCAATTAAACTTACCTATTATAAGGATCTTCACCAAACCTCCTATGATAATCGTCGGGTTTCCAAAAATCATTTGGCCCATACGGATTGTACAAATTGCTCTCAATAGGTCTCGGTCTGTTCTTTTTCAGCATTCTATTAACATCAATAGGCTTAATATGTCTAACCGAAGCTTTGAGAGTTAAGTTTCCACGTACTGGAGCGCCACTAGTGTAATTCGCCATTACTATACCAGTAATAAAAGGTTCAGTGTTTAGGAAAAATGCTGGCATGGTAACGTTCACTTCAAATCTAGTTTGGTAATATTCTTCAACCATGAAAGTGGATTCTTCGCTTCTTGATTCTTGAGCGATTACTCTGATTTTCCATTCTCCAAAAGCTGGTTGATCGGAGAGCTGGTAATCCAAGCTAACAGTGCCGAGATTCGACTGTCGCGATAGCCACCTTTTCAAAATTCGGCCATTAGGATCCAACATATAAACATCTATGGCATCATTGAAAGCTTTCAGTTCAGTGTTAATAGGGATAGTTCTAAAACGAACCGTTTCCCCTTGCATATACACAGGCTTGTCCAACTGTATAAAAATCGTCATGGATCTTTGAGAAAACGTCAATTTTGTCTCGTTAGAAAACGCTACGCCCTCTAAAATATCTTCATACAATCCTTCTACACGAAGTTTGTATTCTCCAGAGGCACTAGTAGTAGGCACTTGCATCAAAAGTGTTTCAGGAATACCCTCTTTAACGTCCTTATGATCCGTTGACATTTCAACGCCATTGCGCGATATCGACGCTCTAACTATGAGAGGTTGTTTTTCTTTCAAAACTGTTACAGAGACTCTGTATAATTGACCTGGTCTGACCATTTTTGAGGCTACCACAAAGTAAGTGGCTTCTTTGATGATGGCAGCATGCTCGATCTTTTCACCGCCATAAACTAATGGGTTTCTATAGGGAGTGTAATCGTAGGCACCATTTTGGTTGTTGTCGTAGGGATCAGGACCAAACTAAATAAGAACATCAGAGTTAATCGAATTAGTGCTTAAGCCAGGAATCCAGTCAAAATACAATAGAAATGTTCTGCAATAATCTGATCATCAGCTATTAACAATATGAAGTTCATACCTGATTGCTTCTATCTCTGTCCTTATTGTAAGCATCTTGACCATATTGGTCCCTATTTCTATTGTAGGAGTCGGTAGGATCCAAGGAATTAGGCGGTGGTAGGTTGCCATACTGTGGATCATTGGGGTCCCTTGCAGGGTTATATCTGAAAAGAAACACATAGTTAAATCGAGGTAAAAATGTTTTAAAAAATACTGGGGGATTCAAATATGATTTTTTAGATGATGTATCAAGGGTGGTGTCTACCTAGCAAAAAATATAGCTCTAAATTTGCATTTCTAAGTTGAAAAATAAAAAAGATTGATAAAAATAGTTATTTACCTAACAAGTGCGGAAAGTGGTACTTTTCCGAGACGTCGAGGGTGGAAAAGACATTTTCCGCAAGAGTTAGGTACAATATTTTGTAGCATTTTCAATTTCTTGTTTGGTATGCTACTGCGTTTTGCTCTAGTAGATATGATTCTGTATAGAACTACAATGAAATAAATGAATAAACAACTATCTTTTCTGTGTTCAGATTTTGTTACCTTGAGTACTGCCTTCTACTGAAAGTTTTTTTGTGCAGGTTTGCAAGTTTTGTTAATTAATCTAGGAAGGTTTGATTCAGTACGGCAGGGCCCACTGGTATTGATTAGAATCTTAGGAAAAGGAGGTAGTACCATCATCATCTCTGTTTGCAAATTCAATCAAATAATCTGAGGTTATGATAATAATTGTTGTTTACATTTCCATCATGTCATTGAACAGCTGTTTTGTCTAGGCGTTTTCGTTAGACCTGTTGATATATGTTCTATAGGCACTTTTCAATATTCACCAGTCATTTTTACACAACCGATTCTCAGTTCGTACTTTTGGGGTGAAACTGAACACGCTTTTTTCTATAATTTTCTTCAATGTCAAAATTAGAAGTTTGACAAAGGAGAGCCTTCTTCCGAAACTTAAATGAAGAATCGGCCCTTTTGATTTTGAGACTTGTTACCGAAAGGTTCGTCTCGGCCCTATTTGATTTTGGGCGAGATTTTTTTTGGAATTTCGTGCCAGGGAACTCAAGGTTTAGACTAATATCTAGTTGATAATTGCCTAGAGTCGTCCCTTGGTCATTTTGGATTTTGTTTTGGACTGCTCCGAGCAGCATTTGGAAGTTTAAGACTTCACATTTGGTCTAGAGTATCCCTCAATTTGAGGGTCCTACTCTTAGCCCTAGTCCTAGTCTTAGGCTATAGTTGGACAGTTGCTAGGCTGTATTTGGAGAGATTCTAGACTGGATCTGGATTGCTCTCAGTTGGGGCTTTGGTAGCCATTCTTCAGCAAACCTCTTGGTACCACTTTGATTGAACCACATGGAGTCCTACATTGAACAGATATAACATGGATAGGACTCATGACTCACTTACAATACCTTAGTCTATCTATAGTGAGATCAAACCTGTAGATAATCTCACCTTGGAAACTTCTGGATTTTCACATACATTTCACTTGTATACATGTAAGTTGCACTTTTACTATTTAGGCAAATCTTATATAAATCACTTGATACTG